CTGGGCCGTGCCTTGGATTTTAGGTATATGCTGCCACATTCTTGCACTTCTGGGACCAATCTCTGCCTGAGTCAGTGTAAGCACCGGTAGCTGCTGTGACGAACAGCCGCTCAGGACGGCACTGTCATCATTTCCCCTTGTCCAGCCATGCGGGACCCACATGGTGCAATGCAGATTTACAGAGGGCTTTGGGGTTCTCCACCAGGACATGGGACAGAAGGTTTGGGGGGCCAGTTTAGGCAGGGGTCTGCATAATCTGTGTGACCATCCCATTGACTAAATGTCCATCATATAGGCTCATCTAACTGCAAGAGAGATTTAGAAAAGGAGGCTTCTTGTACCTTCAGGAGGGGAAAATGCAGGTTTGGTGAATATGTGACATCACCTCTGTCTCAACGCCACAAGGCATGTTTTTATAAACAACAATAATGAGACAGCCTCCTGCAGTGATGGGAGCACATACGGTAACGAGCATCCGTCTTCGCCATGCGTTTGCCATCTGTGTGTGGGTTGGGATGTGAACTGTCCATATTTGCACTTAAATTTGGAAATCCACCTGACGCAGGGCAGGTGAACCCAAAATTGGGGCTTAGCCCAGGAGGGTTCTTGGCTTCACCCAGGAAAGAACTCAAGGGTGAGCTGGTTGCATTAAACAGCAACTTCTGCTGAAGTGGCCGACACAGCAGCAGCCAAGGCAGCCTGCTTGCAGAGCAGGGCTCTCCGTAGGCAGTGTGCCCAGACCAGCAGCTCAGAGGCAGTTTGCAGGCTTACGTACATCCACCTTTAGCTATATGCAAATTAAGGGTGGTTTGTGTGGAAATTTCTAGGACAAGGGTGGTAACTTCTGGGTCATCAAGTCATTGCAACGGAAACAGGCGGTCATTTTGGGTGTTGCTGTGGCAATGGTAAACCGACATGGCACGCTGGTGGGTGTGTCTTGCGGAAAGCTCGCCCTCAATCTGATCCAGTGTCCAAGCCCCTGCCTGCAGAGTCACCCTGCCTGCCTCTCCCTCAGGTCAGACAGGCAGTGAGGGAGCCACTGAGGAGTTCTGAGTCCTGTAAGGATTCAGGAGACTTCAGGCTGAGCCTGGAGGAAAGAAACAGGAAAGAACTCGCCAGAGCCTTTGCCTTGAGTCTTCTGTTTAGGCTGTTTGTCTGATGCTGTTGGAAAATGCCTCGCTCTCCTGGCGAGAGGACAGGCGTCTTTGGAGCAGGAATTCACTGCCCTGTACTCCGGAGAGAGCTGTGCACCCAGCTGATGTTCCACGGGGGTAGTGGCAGAAGGCTTTGGCTTAGTCTTTCTTCACCAAGTGATTAGTGTCACTCTAGTGAAGACATGAAGAGGTGAAGCTCTGTCAGGTGGGTGTCCTGAAAGCCTGTGTCCTCCCTGACCTTGAGGATAGGGGATCAAGGGTTTTGGGGATTTTTTTCTCTGTTGCAAATGACTGGGGCCACTGAGACTCCTCTGGAGACAACCAACCATCTCGGTGGCCAGGGCTTTTCCAGGAGATGGGACACTCAGTGCTAAAACTGGGCAGGCGCAGGCTCACTGGGACAAGTTGGTCACCTCACTCTTTCTGACCACAGGTTACTGGGAGAGGAAAGCAGCTTAGGACACAGAGGAATGAAGGGACCAGAAGAGGCACACAGAGAGGCTGGGGACAACGAGATGGGAGGAGCCCTGAGCCCAGGGGCCTAGCACAGGGATGTTCTCCTAGCATGGGGTCACCTCCCAAGACGCCCCGCGGCAGGCCACGTTTTGCGCCTGTTACTCCGCGTTTGCCTTCGGCCGCTTCCCCGAATGCTGTTTCCAGCTCTCCCTCCCACAGCCGGCACTGTTTCCTCCTTGGCTGCCGTAAAGTGCAAACCTCAGAACGCAGGGCGCAAGTGTGGGGTGACCTCTGCAGAGGCGAGCGTGGCATCCTCCTTGCTGTAGATGTCAGGCCTGTGTTAATGCAGCCTAAAACAACGTCCCGCACTCAGTGAGCACCATCATGCTCCGCCCAGAGCCAGCTGAGCCTGGAATTGACACGATGGCCCCTTCCCAGTTCTTTCTTTGTGAATTGCACTCAGGCATGGAGTCGTTGGAAGAACGTGGAATCCATCGGTGAAGGGAAGGGGCAGGGACATGGAGATTTGGGTAGACGGAGGCGAGAGCCACCTGGCTTCAGGGTTTGGGTGCCTGCCAGTCACAGCTCCCAATAATCAGCTTATTAGAGGGAGACAGTGTCCCTCAGGCCAGGACAGAGAGAAGACAGCCAGCTCTCCCCCGAGCAGATTCTGAAGGCAATGAAGGCAGACAGCCTGGCCTCCGCTCTGACCCCAGGGAGCCTGCCCTGGCTAGTGTGGGCAGCAGGTGAGGGAGGCCTTTGCTGGAGCCCAGCCCAAGTCAGGTGGCTCCATCGCTCTCTCCCAGGTCTGGATACACAGCGGGGTCCATCCCTGCCCATTGCCCCATCCCAGGGCACAGCTCCCAGCACCCTCAACAGAACAGGCTGGACCCAGCCCAAGGAGACAGGCAGGTGACAGGAGGTGTGGGGGGAAGCCAGGCAGGACTGGAGCCACAATAGAAATCTATAGCCAAGGACTCCTGCGCCCAGGGAAAGGTCCGAACAGAAGCCGAGCCCTCACGGGCAAAGGCTGTCAGCTGGGCGGGGGGTGGCCTAGCAGGAGGACTGGCAGTTGGAGGGGGGGTGGCCTAGCAGGAGGACTGGCAGCTGGGCGGGAGGTGGCCTAGCAGGAGGACTGGCAGCTGGGCGGGGGGTGCCCTAGCAGGAGGACTGGCAGCTGGGCGGTGGGGTGATACTGGGCTGTGCTTCCTGACCCTTCAGCATCCTGCAAACCTGGTGTCCTCTTCTCACTCCCCGGAGTCCTCAAATCCACCCTGCCATCCCATGTCACACGAGAAGGAAGATTCAGAGAGGTCAGGTAACTGATCAAGCCCCACAGCCCAGGTCTGTGCAGACCAAATGCCATTACCCTTTACCAGCCGAAACAGAGAGAGACTTTGTTTTTGAAGGAGTCAAGCTCTACTCTGAGACCTCCCTGGGAGCACACGTCACACACAGCGCCACGTGGCCAGTGTCTCCATAAACATGTACTGGCAGCTGAACGGGACCAGGGACCAAAGGGCCCCAGGCGGGGCGACTGGCGCCAAGGCCTTTTTGCCTTTCAGAATAATGCTCTAATACATTCCGGGAAGGACCCCTTTCCAGAACTCAAGGGTCAAGATTTGGGGGAAATCTGCAGGACCTCCCTTTATGGGGGTGTGAGGTGCACGTTCTCTTCACCTGTTGGAGGCTGAAACGCCCAGACTCGGGGGTGGACGGCACTGAGGGGAGTCCTGACGACGGGTCTGATTCTGACCGTGGCCGGGTGTGGGGCTGAGCTCTTTGCTGCCCTAGAAGGCTGAGTGGCCGTGAACGGCTGCAGTGTGAGGCCGCAGAGAGGGGAGGCTGACGTAAAGTCAGCACCTGTCAGTGAATCGTAATGCTGTCTAGAAGCTAAGGGCCCAGGTCTGTGAGGAAGGAGATGTCTGTGTCTAGTTTCCTGGTGGCAGCACCCCTTCATTCAGTTGTAGACCCTCAGATTTGTCAGCTTGCTGGTTTCTATCCTGAGGACAGGTCAGCCCCCGGGGTGGGTGGTGTGGCCCCCTCCTACGGGTCCCAGAAGGAAGAAAGTGTCACGCCCAGGGCTGTCCCTGCTTCCTCCTGTCCTGGCTCAACCCAGGCCCTGGACCCAGAGTGAGGAGAGAAGGTGGGGATGGATCACGGAGGGTGAGGCTGGCGCTGCGTCCTGATCTTCAAGGCGCAGCCCTCCCAGGAGCTCAGAGGAAACGGTACTCTCCTCCCCGGGAAGACCCAGACACGCAGAGCTCTCCATGATTCGTGTGGAGCTTAGACCAGCCGAGACCCAGGAGGGGAAGGAGGGGACCAGCATTGAAAAGCTCAGAGAGGGACCATGGCCTCCTCGGTCCCTCCTAGATCCTCTCTGAGTAGAGGGCAAAGGACGAGGGCAGCGCTGTCATGAGAGGGATCGGGGCCCAAACAGACATCTGAGAGTCAGCTCTGGCCAAGGCTGGGGTGTGGAGCCTCCAAAAGCCTCTCCAGGCTGAGCTGGCCAGGGACCGGGGACAGGGAACAGGTCCTCAGGAGGATCGGGAGGAGGTAAGAGTAGAGGGCCAGGCCCCGTTCTTGGCAGACACAAGTTCCTGCGCAAATGCACTTTGCTCTCTTGCAAGCGGCCTGCCTGGGAGAAGCGGTGGAAGGGGCTGTCTGCACTGGATTCGCTGCAGGCCGGCTTTGCGCCGGACACTCAGGGCCAAGGGGAGGGCTCTTCCCGCCTCAGGAGCGCCTGGCGCTCGCACCTGCCTCATTTAACCGGTCTCTGCGTTTTGATGAGGGAGTCAGGCACACAGTCACTCTTGGTTCTGCTCATGAGGAAGTGGTAAGCAGGTTCCATGAACACCCAGCAGAGCAGGTGGCAGGAGCCTGGGTGGCAGGGGTGAGTGGGCCGGGCTGCGGCTGGGGGGCCGGGGCAGGCAGGGAGCCTGGGCGGCAGGGGTGCGTGGGCAGGGCTGCGGCTGGGGGGCCGGGGCAGGCAGGGAGCCTGGGCGGCAGGGGTGCGTGGGCAGGGCTGCGGCTGGGGGGCGAGGGCTGGCCGTTGGACCAGCAATGGCATCTCAAGTGCGGGAGAAACTTCCTCTCCGATGCGCCTTCTCAGCCCCCGCCATCCAGCTCACAGAGGAACCCGGCTAACGAGCCCCAGAATGGGTTTATCCTGCCAGGGCCCCCGACCAGGGCTGCACTCTGAGCCCATCACAGCATCAAAGTCTTGTATTTGTTCTTAAGGAAGGTGCGTGCTGGATAGTCAGAAACACCCTCTTTTCTGCTAAGGAAAGACGGAGGTTTGAGATGAGTTGATGTCGCCAATCTGGAGGGGCCGATGGTGGAAACAGCAGGACCTGAACCTCTTCCGCAGAGCAAGACAAACGCAATTTGGAATCACAACACGTGTTTCTTTTATGAACCCGAGGGCTAAGCTCCCGACCCCACCCCCACCAGCGTGCATGCGGGGCGTCCTGACCCTGCGCCCACCGGGCTAGGCGGGCCGCAGCTTCATCTCCGACACCCTGTAGCTGTAGTTGTACCCTTTCCCCGACTTCCAGTTGATGCCCTTTGCGAAGCTGTCGTGGGCCCCGCCGAGGTAGCGACCGTTCAGGTTTGACACGTGGCACGTTTTGTACCACCAGGCTCCCTGGTATATCACAGCACAGCTTTGGGCATGAAGGTCGTTGTCCTGGTCTTTAGTGGAGAAGGACTGGTTGTTGTGGGACGTCAGGGAATCACCTGCTCAGGAGGAAATGGGAGCGTCGTTACAGGCAGTAATGTCATCGGCAGAATAAGTCTTTCCACCTGAGGCCTGGCCTGGTGGTCTTCCATGTACGGTTATGTAGGTTGTTCACTGCACAATCCAAGGAGTACAGTCCATGACTTCAGTGAAGACTGCCCTGCTGTTGGCAGTGGCCTTAGAAAATTGCCTTTACGTCTAGCCCTGCCACCTAATGTGTAGTGTGTTTATTTCATAGAAGGACAGGAGGTAGGATCATCATTCCCTACTCTGGATTCCACCATGGCGGACCCCTTCCAGCCACGCCCCGCAGAGATGTCAGCTGCTGTCACTGTGCATAGGTCCCTGCTCTGCAGACACTTCCTTCCTACTGATGTCCTTGCTGGGGTTTCAGCACCTGCCGCACACTGATGTGTGCCACACGGAGCACAGACGTTAATGTCGCAGGTATAGATGGACAACCCAGGCTCAGAGAGGCGAGGCCTCTTCCACAAGGCAGCCAGGACACACTCTCTCCACTTCCAAACCCCCCTCGGAGGCCCAGGCCACGAGGCCCAGCACAGACACTCACCCGCACTGCCCTCCACAAAGGCCCCCAGGACCAGCCTGTACTTCTCCGCCTCGCCCGCCATCTGGAAGGATCTATACTTGGCAAATTGGTGGTTGTCCTCAAAGTCCACCAGGTCTACGCGGAGCTCACTGGTTCCTGTGGGAGGAAGGTTTCAGGATCCCGGCAGAAGGGCCCTCTGCCTCCAGACGCGGGAGCTGGGGAACTGGGGCAGGGGCTGGAAGGAGGTCTGGGTTCCATGGAGGCAGGGCGTGGAGAGCACTGAGGCTTCCCCGGGGCCCGCGCGGCTCTGACCCGCTGGGGGTGCTGAGCCACAGGGCGAGACTCAACTCCCAAATCCTCGAGGCTTAGAGGCAGAATTGGGGTTGGGCCCTAACTCCACTACGGGGCCACTGGGTCCCTCCTTCCCACACTCAGGACCTAAGGTGCCGGTGGGGCCGAGACCAGAAGAGGCTTCAGCCCAGAGCTCCAGCCCTCTCCCGTCCCGACGCCGCCAGAGCCAGCGGCAGGGGACACAGCCCTTGGGGGTCCCAGTGCCACCCTGCGTGTGCTCAGGGCCCAATGCCCTGCGGGCCAAGAGGCACTTATGTTCCAGGCGGCCCAGGCCTAAGGGGCAGGGGCACCTCCATTCAAGGCCCCCGAACCCCGACCCCCGGCAGCGGCCCTACCCTGGGCGGTCAGGGCGTGGATGTTGTCATTCCCCAGCCAGAACTCCCCCAGCTGACTGCCGAAGCCCTGCTTGTACGCGGCCCAGTCCCGGTAGAAGTCCACGGAGCCATCTACCCTCCGCTGGAAAACCTGTGGAGGAGCCGGGGGATGGAGCCAGGGGCCAGGCCGACGTCCCACAGCGCGGGGGACCCGCCCTCCAGAGGAGCAGCACGTGCAGATGGCAGAGCATCACGGCCGGGCCAGCAGCTCGCAGACCCCACGGGAAGATGAAGTTCCGAGGAAAGGTGGGCCCGGGAGGGGAGGCAGCAAGCCCCAGGCCGCACAGCAGGAAAACACCGGCCCCTCCCAGCCGCCCCCACAGCCTGGACTTTTACCCACGGGTCACCCCCCATCATCTCTGCATGTCCCCGTCCAGGGAGATAGAGAACTCCAGAGTGTTCTCCCAGCAGGTGTGCAGCCTGGCCTCTGGGACTCCCAGGCTGGCCGCCCCTGCCCAGGGCCCCTCAGCTCCCCCCACACTCACGGTCCAGCCCCCTCCGTCCGTGTCCATGTCACACAGCACGGTCAGGGGCCGGCAGTCGGGCAGGTAGACGGTGTGCCAGCCGCTCAGGAAGTGCCCCCGGTCCCGCAGGTCCTTGCAGGTGCGTGGGCCTGGGAAGGGAACCCGGGGAGTGGCTGCAGGACGGGAGCCCTGGGCAGGGCAGGGGCAGTGGGAGGGAGGCCCGGGAGGGAGAAGCAGGGCCACAGGCAACTGTGTGGACAGAGCGGGACTCCGAGGCCTGGACGGGGACACGGCCCTCAGGGCCATGCAGCTGTGATGGCCACACCCAGTCTGCCCGACCATCCCCCCTCCCAGCGTCTCCCCACCTTCAGCCCCTGGGCACCCAGCCTTTGGGGTACACTCTAATTTTCTTTGGGATAAAAGACTATGAAGGCCATGCCCTGCTTCTTCTTAGGGCGTCTGCCAGGGGACCTGGACCTGTGGTCCTGTGGATCTGGCCGGCGCAGAGGGAAGAAAAGGCAGAGGCCTCTGGGGCTGGGACTGCAGAGCGTCCCGATGCTCCTGGTGGGTGCAGGTCGGGGTGGGCTGGTGTGGGGTGCATGTGCAGGCGGGGCTGGAGGATCCGGGGCCTGCCNAGGGCGTGGAGAGCACTGAGGCTTCCCCGGGGCCCGCGCGGCTCTGACCCGCTGGGGGTGCTGAGCCACAGGGCGAGACTCAACTCCCAAATCCTCGAGGCTTAGAGGCAGAATTGGGGTTGGGCCCTAACTCCACTACGGGGCCACTGGGTCCCTCCTTCCCACACTCAGGACCTAAGGTGCCGGTGGGGCCGAGACCAGAAGAGGCTTCAGCCCAGAGCTCCAGCCCTCTCCCGTCCCGACGCCGCCAGAGCCAGCGGCAGGGGACACAGCCCTTGGGGGTCCCAGTGCCACCCTGCGTGTGCTCAGGGCCCAATGCCCTGCGGGCCAAGAGGCACTTATGTTCCAGGCGGCCCAGGCCTAAGGGGCAGGGGCACCTCCATTCAAGGCCCCCGAACCCCGACCCCCGGCAGCAGCCCTACCCCGGGCGGTCAGGGCGTGGATGTTGTCATTCCCCAGCCAGAACTCCCCCAGCTGACTGCCGAAGCCCTGCTTGTACGCGGCCCAGTCCCGGTAGAAGTCCACGGAGCCATCTACCCTCCGCTGGAAAACCTGTGGAGGAGCCGGGGGATGGAGCCAGGGGCCAGGCCGACGTCCCACAGCGCGGGGGACCCGCCCTCCAGAGGAGCAGCACGTGCAGATGGCAGAGCATCACGGCCGGGCCAGCAGCTCGCAGACCCCACGGGAAGATGAAGTTCCGAGGAAAGGTGGGCCCGGGAGGGGAGGCAGCAAGCCCCAGGCCGCACAGCAGGAAAACACCGGCCCCTCCCAGCCGCCCCCACAGCCTGGACTTTTACCCACGGGTCACCCCCCATCATCTCTGCATGTCCCCATCCAGGGAGATAGAGAACTCCAGAGTGTTCTCCCAGCAGGTGTGCAGCCTGGCCTCTGGGACTCCCAGGCTGGCCGCCCCTGCCCAGGGCCCCTCAGCTCCCCCCACACTCACGGTCCAGCCCCCTCCGTCCGTGTCCATGTCACACAGCACGGTCAGGGGCCGGCAGTCGGGCAGGTAGACGGTGTGCCAGCCGCTCAGGAAGTGCCCCCGGTCCCGCAGGTCCTTGCAGGTGCGTGGGCCTGGGAAGGGAACCCGGGGAGTGGCTGCAGGACGGGAGCCCTGGGCAGGGCAGGGGCAGTGGGAGGGAGGCCCGGGAGGGAGAAGCAGGGCCACAGGCAACTGTGTGGACAGAGCGGGACTCCGAGGCCTGGACGGGGACACGGCCCTCAGGGCCATGCAGCTGTGTTGGCCACGCCCAGTCTGCCTGACACTCCCACCCCCCTGTGTCACCCCCTCCTTCGGCTCCTGGGCACTCAGCCTTCTGGGGTAAAGCAGAAGGTAGAAGAAAATTGCCATGGAGGGCACTGAAGTTGTCTGGACAATATTTGTCACTTTCTTAAATGATTCAGGGACAAGGGAATGGGCACACCGCCTTTGTCTTTTGCTTGTATTTGTCACTTCCTTCTGGCGATGGCATCGTATGACCCTGGACTTCCAGACAAAGGCAGCCACAGGCCGTGGGTGGAGCGCCGGGGGAGCGTGGGGTGGTCAGTCACCTGTCAGGCATGGCTGGGGCTCCCCAGGTGCTCCTGTTCGTGGGTGAGAGAGGACACACATGTCACAGTTTGGAAATCAGAGCCCTTGAGCCCCCATTGGTCCGCAGATACCGTGTAAAATGTGGAGACCATTTTCTGGGCCTCTCCAGGAGGAGATGGTGGGGGTCCATTCAGGGAGTCCCTGAGCCTGCTTCCATGGGCCACATTTTTCCTTCCCTCAAGGGAGGCCCACACTGGCCCCTCCACGACACGCACCCCTTTCGGAGGTCCCCAGGGAAGCAGAGGCCTCCATCCCAGAGACTGTCGAGGCCTCCATGTGCCAACCAGAGGGAGCCTGGATCTTCAGGTCTCTCCGGGGACCCCAAGGCCTGCAAACAGCCCATCTTGGTAGACGCAGTAGTATGATGGGACAGCGTTGCTTGGGGTCTGGGCGCCAAACTGCGTATTTTACCTTTAGACACAACCCGTGGCTGAGCCCGGGGTGCGGTGAGTGTAGGGGGTGTCTTATTCTGAGTGGGTCCGTGGGTAAGGGTGAGTGAGTAAAGGGAGCTTCAATTTCCTACTGCGTCTTTCTCTGATTCTTCAAGGTATTCCTCATGAAAATATGTCGGAAAATTATTTATTTTAAAGCAGAGCATTTCTACAAACTCTGTGCTGAGAGCTGGTTGGTGTGGTTCTCCAGGCCCCCCGGGGCCTGCTCCCCACACGTGGTGCTGACTAGAGATACAGCCTTGAGGCGGCGTCAGGAGGAGGGGACCAGACAGGACCTCGTGCTTCGGGGACAGAGGCCAGGGCTGAGTGGGACTGAGAGAGGTGAGCAGACACACCCACCCCACCCTCCCAAGGCCACTTCCACCTTAGAGGGACAGGATTTCGCCTCAGACACACCCACAGGGCAGATGCTCCAGTACTGAAAACCTTCCCCTACACAAGAACCTCTTCCCCATACAGAGACCCCCACCGAGAACCCCTCCCACACCAAAACTCCCTGCCCCCACCCCAGAAGCTCTCCCTGGTATTGACAGCTCCGCCTGATATTGACAGCTCTCCCTGATTTTAACGGCTGTCCCTGATATTGACTGACAGCTCTCCCTGATATTGACAGCTCTCCCCGATATTGACTGCTGTCCCGGTATTGACAGCTCCCCCAGTATTGATGGCTGTCCCCGGTATTGACGGCTCTCCCCGGTACTGACGGCTCTCCCCGGCACTGATGGCTCTCCCTCCATACTGTTAACACCTCCCTACAACCTGCACATTGGAAACCCCTCCCCCGACACACACACCAAGAACCCCTCCCCCAACACACACACCAAGAACCCCTCCCCCGACATTGAGAAGCCATCTCCAACACTGATAACCCCACTTCCCCCAACTGAGAACCCCCACAACATTGAGAACCCCTCCCCTATACTGAGACCCCTGCCCTGGATGGAGCCCTGGAAGCCCTGCCCATATTCCTCTGCAGCCTTGGCTGAAAGGACCTTGCAGCCCCTCCTCACTCTGGTCCCCTCCTTACCCTTGGGCCCAGGTGGTCCTGCCTTCCCAGGGGGTCCAGGGGGTCCAGGTTCTCCTGCAATTTCCAAAGACAAAGCTCCCTTGAGCAAAACTCCCTAGCCAGGACCAAAGGGTCCACCCTGGAGTTGGCAGCTGTAATTTCCAATCATGACCATGACCCTGCTCACTACGAAGTGACCGAGGCCCCACCTGGGCTTGCCCATCCTGCACCAGAAGGTTCTAGACCCAGGACCCAGACCTCATGGGACTCTGCTGTCCACTCAGTGGCCAGGAGCTGAAAATCCAGACACCACGGGGGGAATCCCAGCCCTTTTCTTTTCAGGCGTAAGCACGGAGGGGAATCCCTGGACTCTTTGAGCCTCAGTTTCCTCATCTGAGGCAGGCGGAGAAGAGTTTGTGGCCTCAGGGCTCAGGTGAGAAGGTGGAGGGACATAGAACTTAGAAGTCGTGCCAGTGGCCGAGCAAAGCTGGTGTTGGGTCAAGGACGGGGAGACAGCACTACAGAAGCGTGTCCACACGTGAGCTCATGGATAGTTAAGAAAGACGCTCCCCCATTTCAGAACCCTGCTGGGCCCTGGGAGTCGGCTACATCCCTGTCTCTAGCAGGGTCTGACCCAGGCTCTCGAGCTAGGTGCCACGGTGGGGGCGTTGCCCAGCTCAGCATCTAGTTTCAAAAACAGCAAGAGCCAGTGCCCCCGCCATGTCCGGCCTCCCCACCCGGCCCACACTTACCTCTCTGTCCATTTGCGCCTGCCTCTCCCTTTGGCCCTGGGGACCCCGGCAGCCCCGGGCAGCCTCGGAGAATGGTGAGCTTGTCGGAGCCCTCCACGCCCACCACCTTCACCTCTGCAGAGAAACACAGATGGCCACTCAGTGTCACCTGGGCCTGAATACTCCACTGAGCCACAGACACACCACTCAACCGAAAGGCACCTGCCACCTTGATGACATCAGGAATGGGCAGATGGCTGCAGCCACAGCCACCTCCCTCCGTTGGGTGTTCCTGCTCTGGTGAGCTCTTGGTCTGTCCTTACCTCCTGAGCACTGGTCAGGCAGGAAGGAGATGCGGGGCAGAAACCAGGCCTTGGAGGCCACCCTGCCCGAGGGGAAGCCTTACTTCCTCAGCACTGCGTGCCCTGAAACAAGTCCCTTGACCCCTCTGAGCCTCTGTTCCCTGGCCTACTGAGAGCGCAGGTTCGTTTCAGCTCCTACCATTTAGGATAGCCTCGTCATCTCAGCCGTTCCCATCTGTTGTACCATGGTCATCAATATCAGGTGAGAAGGACACCAGGAGAGAGGCTACCAACGTGACTCCTACGCCCAATCTTGTGAACAGAGCTGAGAGTGGATGGGCTCCTGTGGGTCCACCGTGTCCCTCCACAGAGGGAGGCGTCCTTCAAGGACACAGAACTAGCTGGTGCAAAACTAGACCTGGAAGGCAGCTTCGTCGTTTTCAATTAGGTATCTCCAATTCAAGTTAGATGGTGTATTATAAAAATTACATGTGCCGTTATTTGACCATTTAGAAGCTCCAGAAGTGTTTAAGGAGGAGAATAATGCTGTCCTAACTCCACCACTCCACAGTTACCCACTAGGAGCTTCCAAGTGACCCTGCTGTCCCTGGCCTGTCACCCTCCAGGATCTCTCCTGGAATGCAGTGCTGGCCGCAGCACCCCTGAGCTCCGGAAGCCCCAGCTCTGCTGCGGATAGAGCCGTGTCTCCTCCTGAGCACTGCAGACATCCCAACAGGAGTCTTTGCAGGCATCGAAAACATCACAAACTCCTGACCCTCCGTCAGGTAGACGGAGTCAGGACCTGATTCCAGGGTCCGCATGTTCAACCTGCCTTCCCATACTTTGGAACCCGTGGTTGGGCACCCAAGTGTCCTCTTGGGAGCCCCAAAGGAGGGCCAGAACTGGCGGGGACAGTGCCACTCCTATGGTGCCACGTCAGGGACACCATGGGAACTGCCACCTTCAGAGCCCAGTAGTTCCTGGATGGAAACGTCCCACAGTGCTGGGTGCCCATCCCTGCTGACGCTCTGTCTCCCCATGATGGCGGTCATGGTGGAACACCTGACTGCTGCCTGCCCAGCTGGCGCCACAAGCCCCTCCTCCCCTCACAACACCACGACCGCGCCTTTTACGCTTAGAGGACATGTGGCCCGGGGAGGCTGGAAACCTGCACTGTTTCGGTGACGGGCGGGCAGGCAGAGGACACCCCATCTGTGAGACACCGCATGCATTCAGGGTCTCTGCGTCTGCTCACACAGACGACATGTGCGGAGCTGCTGTCTCGACAGATGACACACCACATGGCCTGGGGCAAGGCCTGGAAGCCAGGAAGCTGCCAGTCATGAAGCTGCCAGCTTTTGGGGATGAGAAGTTTCCAAGAGGAGGTCCTGAAGTGACTCACCTGGACAGGTTTCTGCTGCCTGGACAGCCCAGGACATGCCCAGGAGGGTGAGCAGCAGGGTGGCAGGGCCCGGGACCCCCATAGCTCTGTCTAGCTCCATCTCTTCTGGTCTTTGCTTCAAGAGGTCCCTGACCTCTTATAGGGCTGGAGAGGCCAGCCTCCCTCAGACTCCAATTTCTCATCTTCCGAGTGACAGCCGCTTCCTCTCCGCCGGCTTGGTGACGCCAGCAGGAGGTACGGGGTCATCTCCAGGGCTGCTCCTTCCACCCTCCCCTTGGGGATCCCACGGCATCTCTCATCCCTGCAGGGGATGGTCTATTCCCAGGGAACAGGCTGACTCGCTTGTGGCCTTGCACAAAGCCCAGGCCCATCCGCCCACCTTTGTTCAGTGGTGAGCCGATGACACCAGGAGCTGAGGACGGGAACAAGGAAGGGTTTGCTAAAGATGCTCTGCTTCAAAGAGTTCTCTCTCCCTTGCCCGAATCCCTGGAGTCCTCACAGCCAGATCTGGTCATTGGCCACTGGGCTGGACCTTACACAGCAACCCTCACCATGTCATGAGTGGACTTGGGACGCTCCTCAGGAGCCTTGGAAACTGCCACTGGGCGGTCCAGGCAGGATGTCAGGGCC